TTCAACAGATCCGTATCTTTCAAACACTGAATGAATCATTTCGACATTCATTTTTCTTTTGTGCAATTTTTTAAAACATTACCTGTACTCCTCAAAGTGAGTGCCTCAAAAATTTCTTTTCTTCAGCTTCTCAGATTAGGTGTACATTAAAAAGAAGGAAAAAAAAAGGAAATTCCCACAAGGTCTAGTGCTACAGGAAAAGATCCCATCAGTAAGTAACATTTGAAGCGAGGTCATCTCTGTAGAAGTCTCGGCTCCAGAGTAGAGGTGTGCAAATCGTTTGGAGTTTCCCTATCAACAGAAACACAACACTGTCCGTGGAAAAGAGGAAACCAACCCAACACAACAGCATATGCATGTGCTTTATAAAAAGTATATTCTCTGTATATTTATTACTTGATGTCTTAAATTCTCCATTTCAGAAATTCTGGGTTGAAAACACAAAAGTGGAAGCAAAGGCCTCCACTCCACTCTAAAGGATTAAAAAAAAGCATAATTCCCTTTTCTTTCATATCCGCCAAAGAAGCTGGGTCGGGCCAGGGAGACGGGCGGCCCTGTTGTCACCTGGAATCGTCACGGTGACCAGAAAACAGGAAGAGCAAAGGGTTAGGAGAGAACAGGCCACAGTTTGTTGAGCGGCTTATGGTACATGAAACAGTCGCCATGACAACCAACACAGCTCAAAAAGCCTGGCCTTCTGTCCCAAGAGCTCTGCTTCTTCACCCAAATCTGAAATAACGTGGCATTAGTGTCTTCAAGAGCACTGAGATTTTTCTATGAAAGAAATAGGTTTCCTTAGTAGTCACAGATGTTAAAGGATATTGTCAATTGTTTCCTTAAAAAACAAACAACAAAAAATTCCAAAGCTACAACAAAAAGAAATTTTGGCAACATATTTCAGTAAAGATCGAACTATGTGCAAAGAGTGGATTTATGATTACTAGGAGCTGCTGTTCCTCGTGAACACGCAGCATTATATTGCAATCTATGCAGGATCTAAGGAGTAATCCACAAGGTGCAGGAAATCCAAACATTCCTCGAAGTTGTACAGCCCTACTCCAGAGCAGTCAAAGTGCTGCTCCGGGCACATCAGTGTACCACACACACGCCAGCCCGTCCCTGAGTAAGAGGTGTGAAAGGTTCCGCAGAGTTCCTGTGGGGGGGTGGGGGGTGGGGGAGGGGGAAGCTGCTGCCACTTCCTGCGGGGGAATCCCTACACACTCACCCAACAGAAAACACAGAGGGTCACAATGCAGAGTCAGAAAGGGGATCGACAACAGCAGTGACGAAAATCAAATCATCCCAAACCAAACGGGGCGAGTTGGGGAAAACAAAAAAAATTGACTGACATAGAAAATTATCCTGAAAGTCCCAATGAAAATGCAATTTGGATTTCCACTTCAAAAGGTTTGAGGTAAGTGGCACCCATCTCTTTATCTGCACCCCAGTGTGGCCCAGACAAACTGAAATAATTCTTAAGTTAAACATTCGAAGGAACAGTCATTTTCTATATTTACTAGTAGAAATCCCTATCAAGAGAGGTTCTTGTTTGTTGGTTTCTTATTATATATTTTTTTTCTTTTCACCCTGGCTAATTTCTTGGTGATTGTGTTCCATTGTAAATGCAAAAGGCCTGCTGTTATTAGTTTAAAAGTGGAAAACAGGAAAGAAAGAACTAAAGACAGTGTAGGCAAATATTGCAAAGTGGACACGGTACAGAGGCACAAGGCTGATTCTCGTAAGCTGCAGGGCACCGGAGGAGAATTTCTACGCCTGTCGCTGCCAGGTCTGCTACACAGAAGTGGTGACAAAGGCTGCTCTGGGAGCCTCAGTTCAGCAAGGTCTGCCAACAGGAGGAGGTTCCCTGTCCCCTGGATGTTCTTCCTATTTGAAGAGAAAGCTGCCACAGAGGAGAGTGGGCAGTGCTGGCAGGCGGCCCCTCCACAGCCACTGGCCTGCACGCTCACAGTTCACACACACATCACTTCCTGCGCGCTCAGAGGCACAGCTCAAAGTCTCAAGGACACAGACCTGAGGAGGGGCCTGCCCACTTGCGGAAAAGGGCGTGGAAAATGGGTTGATGCTGGCTCTATTGCTCCAGAGTGCGCCTTAGGAATGACTCTGCCTCCTTCCTCTACACACTCCACATTCACTATTCATCGTGGTGACAGCGGAACTGCAGCTGGTCCCCTAGATCTCCTTTGCTTGCTCTTTCTGCAACGTGGCGACAGACACCTGGGCTCCTGAAGGCTCCCGCCCAGCACTCAGCATCCACAGCAGCAGGGGGAGCTCGCAGCGGGAGGCTCTCCCCTTCTAGCTCCTCCCCTCCAAACAAGGAAAAAGCCAAAAGGGTGTGAGCTTTAACTGGACCACACTGATCAGACTCTATTGGCATGGAAAGTATTGCACATGCTGGAAAAGCTGGGGAGTGAAATGGGACAATGCTGAGAAAGAACCGATCCTCTTCTAATTCCTATACCTGAAATAGAAGCACAAAAATGATGATGATGTTCCTATTGCTCCAATCATGTATATTTTCCCATTTTAGTGTTGGTGTTGTGGGTCCAGTTAGTTCAATACTCGAAGGAAGCCAACAGGTGGTGTGTGTCTTTCTGAGTCCACAGGAGTGGCTACTGTAAGTAGTGGTGCCAATGAGGACAAAGTCGATGTGGCAGCCCCGTATTCCTCTTGCCACCAAAGGTTATAAAAGAAAAAGAAAAACAAAACCTAATAATTGCAAGTGCCCTGAGCAGAATATATGGAAGATTAAGCAAGTTCTCTGAACAGAAACGCTTTAAAAAAATACAGCACTAAAGGAGTATTATGACTGCGAGAATAGACCCACCCAACTCTCTGTGAGCATGCAGGGAGGGTGATGAAATTCAAATAGAGTCAAGGACCGGCTCTAGCTATTCTCTATCTATTCAAATGTTTTTGGTACATTCCAGAAAATGGTTTATAAACTCATTAGTCCTGGTGAGAACAAAATGTGAAGGAACACTAGATAGCCAAAATGTGGGCTGACATTAGGACTTCTTAAATTTGTGAAATGGAAAAAAAAGTATTATTTCTCAATGAGGAAAGGAAAATCAGAAGTTTTTATTCAGATTAGCTGCAGCCATTCCAAGTACGAATATTAAAAATTTCTTCCTACTTATAAAACTTTTTTTTAAAGCACTTTGAGATGCAAACTCAAAACCCACAAACAATATTTCACCTCTCTGGGAATGAAAGGTTTAAACTCTGAAATACCTTTCTGGGTTTGTACCAAACACCAAATCTTGATTTGATTTCAGATGAAAAAAAAAGTCATTCTGAAAAAACATTAACAACAACAATAATGAATTAAAAAAAAAAACTTGCTCACATATATAAATGTCTCTATGGAAAACTCTCTCAATGAATCTGAAGAAAATTCTCAGAGTTGTCCTGCCAAAGACCTGGTTTTTGTGACAGATGTGGTAGAAAACCAAAATAAATTTTGAAAGAAACATTATAAAATGGCCTAGAGTTTAGGCAGGTTAGAAAGAAATTCTGCTACATTTATTTATGCTCGTTCAGTCCCCCAAACCTTTCCCACAATGTTATTGGATAAAAACTGCAGGAATATCACACAAATTATGAACTCAAGATGTGCAAATCGCAAGGTTCTTTAAAAGTTCGTCGTAAAAAGAAAAACACTGGACAAAAATGAGTATTCTTTTTTCCATCCCTTTTCTCTCGGTTTCTCTGCCAGCTCTGCATATGCCTTTAATCCTTTCTCAAACATCAAAGTGAAAGTGCCTTCCCGCCAGGCTGCACTGGGTGGTCATTCATTGTCACATACTGGTTCATGATTCACATTCATCCTTTTAAAACCACATGGAAACTGTCAATATCTTGCCGTGAGAAACTCTGCAGAGCTGAAATGCAGTTACAGTGTCGAAAAAAGATAGCAACTTAGTTTTTTTGTTGTTGTTTTTTCTTCCCAAAGACTTTGAAGTGAGATACAGTACTTGTTGAATGCTAGACCAAGATGCTTGGTAATAAAGTGTGAACAGCATTGTAAGTGCTTAGAGATAGCAATATATATGCTCATCTTCAAAATCCAATTCCTCACGTCACACTGGAATCTGAAAAAAGTGGCACCCGAGTCGTCCATAGTCATGAACTATAAACAGTACTAGAGTTAAAAGACAAAAGATTTGCAAACCCCAGGTGAAGGGCAGCTCCACCTGCCTCTTGGGAGGAAGTCAATGCGACCACCTGATTGGTTTTCCTAACACTGCACAGAACCAGAGTGGGCGTTCACGCTCCACCCCGCTGCCCCGCACCCTCGGGGAGCCACGCAGTCAGGGCGGCCCTGCCCACCAGACACCCCAAGACGGCACTGCACTAGAGAAGCAGAAACGAAATCCCACGTGTGGCAGTTGCTCTTAAAAAAAAAAATCAGTGCAGTCAGGCCCCATAGGGGGAAATACATATCTATATGATTAAAAGTTGCTTTTATTGTAAAATATGTTGGAGGGGGAAATGTTCTTTTACAGGGTTAGCTTTCCATCCTCTCTAGGATGCCCTGAGGCTGGGTTCCTGATATTTCTTTTGTACGTGAGACCTCCTGAGGACATGTCTCTGGAGCTGCAACCCCGTGCTGAGGGCGTGAGACGGGGGGAGGCAGAGAGAAGACCCTTGCTTGCTGTGGCACCCCTGTTGCACCCCCACCCCCCACCTTTCGCCCTCGCCCCCGCACGCTCGCACGCACACCCCTGCAATCCCCTTCCCGAACTTCCTCATGAAACCAGCAGAAGTCAGCGCCCAGCGGATGCTTTCTGGCGCTGCTAGAAAAGGCAGCCACTCCAAAGCCACATTCATTCCACCAGGCGCCTGGCCGCGCCGGCCCCGTGCCGGCCCCCGCTCGCCCACGGCCAGACACTCGTGGAAAAAGCATATGCACCGTCTCCTGCGCAACACCGGCTGTAACTCTAACGACAAGGTAAGAACAGAAACCTAAAGGAAGAGGATAACATGTAAATACTGTGTTATTTAGCCTACAGTACAGTAATCTGGATACAAATGGTAAGGGAGGGCCGAATTCCTGCCCCACGCCACGCCGCCGCTCCTACTTGCCCACGTTGGACCGGCCTTCGATGCAAATCTTCACCTCCTGAGGAATGAGCGAAGGCCGGGGGAGAGTCAAAGGCGGCTCGTCTTCCGACTTCTCCAGTTTGCGGGTCTCGGGCGCCGACCACCTCCTCTTCCTCGTGGTCGCGGGCTTGCTGGGTTCTGTTTTGGTGAGCAGGGGCGCTGCAGGCAATGCGACTTTGTCTGGGAACTTCAGTTCGCCGTTCTCGGAGAGCATCGGGGCACTTCCCTGACCGATGCCGTTCTCCTGCTCCGCGTACCGGTGTCTGCCGCCCGCGAGGGCGTCGGCCTTGGCGTGCTTCAGCAGGACGCTGGCGGGATCCACGGGCTGGCCCTTCTTCACCGAGCCGTTCTTCAGGTTCTTGAGGGTCAGCGAGATGCAGACGTCCCCCACGGAGAGTTTGGAACACGGCAAATCGAAGAGCTGGCTGGTTCGCTCTGGACAGCAGGACGACCAGCCCTGTCCGAACACAAAAAAAGGGTACTCTACCAACACCTCCACGCTGACCTGTGGGACGGTGAGAGACAGAGAGGGGAGACAGAAAGGAAGTAAGTGCAAACCTTTTATTCGGGTTTTATTTCACACACGTGCAGTGCAGAAGCTGAATGGAGCAAAATAAGACAGTTCCACAGATCCCCTCCACTAACACACGCTAACGAGGCTCTTAATTTTCTGCTGTATTTGTACTTACCGTATGCAGATGTTGGGCAGAAGCCAGTGTAAAAGTCCCTTCAGCACTCAAAATATCCTTTTACTGAGTATCAGCTCTAGGCCTGGTCTCTGTGAAAACAAGTCCTTCGACCCCCAAGGATGAAAGAACATCGGAGTGTTCAGCACTGAGCAAGGCGCTGGCCTTGTGCTTGATTAGCTCATGGGACAAGGCTCTTCTCTGTGCGACAGGGCTGATGTGGGTCTGAGTTGGACTGTGTGCGCTCCCCGAGGGAGGCACCATGTGTTAATCACCGTATCTCTGGCTTTTAAAGGGGTACCTGGCACATAGTTGAGGCTTCATATCTAGTGGGTAAATGAATGTGTACCCTAGGAATTTAGGGGAAGCAGAATCGGGGGAGGTTTGAGGGGAGAACATTGCTGGGAGAGGGTCAATGTGACATATACATCTCAAGTACTTGGTTCATCTACAACAAGCATGTCAAACTCGCCGCCTGTGGGCCGCATGCCTATTACTATAGTGTGTGAGCACGAGCCCATATCAATGTGAATATCATCTGGGGAACATTTCATAGTTCTGGGATATTTTAAAAATGTAAAGAAAGCTAACATTTTTTGAGTACCTACTATCTGTTGAACGATAGAGTACAAACTTTACAAAAAGCCTTTTGTTTAATACTAACAATATACTAGTGAAAAAGGCATTGTTGTTCTAAATTATAAATAGGGAACTATAATTATAGTCTCGGAGAGATTAAATCAGTTGCTTAATGTCACAGCTGTGAATTGATGGAATTGGGATTTAATTCAGTCTCTTTGGTCTCCCAACCCATTTTTCTTTTTCCTGTGCTCCCGATCTCTGCCTCTATGAACAGAGATATAATACCACTAAGAGAGATGAACTTGACATTCCTACTATCCCCAACAGTGGTGAATGTCACTTGAAATAAACAGGATCCCAATGGCAGGAACTCATGGTTTGTTTCATGGTACAGAAAATTGTGAAATAGTGTTTGCCTTACACCTACTCATACAATTCTAGTCTCCCCATATAAATGTGTGATGAGGCTGCTATTCAATTACAGAACTACATTTATATCTCGCACACATATATTTGCATATACATATGAACAATCATACAAGTTATAGTATCAGATGGGGATGACCACTGAGTTCCAAGTGGGAGGGCCACCCTGGAGCTGGCTCCATAAATCCTGCCCCAAACCTCTTAGAGCCATTAACATCACAAACTGAGCAGAGGAACCAACCCTTCTTCAAGTGGGGATTTTTAAACTGTATTTCCAAGTCATAAAAACAAAGTTCTCAAGTATAAATATCTCCTAAGAATCTAACAGACTCACTGTTTGCTTATCCCTGCCTAACAGCTGTCAGAGGTCATGTGATATTCATAATACTGGAAGCCCTATTTGCAAACATATTGGCCTTTTTGGCTTTGCATGTTCCTGGATGATCCCCTGATTCGGGCAGTCTGTCTCCTTGCTGACAGAAAGCCTAATACCTACCAGTTGACAGTTTTCTTGGTGTGTGAGCCATACTGTACACACTCCTCAGAGCAGCCAATATTCCATGTTCTGAAAACAATGTCTACTGCATATTCATAGACAAGTCTATCTGAGACTTTTACGTGTTACCCAGTATCTACAGACTCATTGAGAAGAAATGTTTTCAAGGCCTTTATAACAAGTAACACTACTGATTATTCCAAAGGCTGTGATGTAGATGCATATGCTTCCAATTATATACTCCATAAAGTTTTGGGGCATTTGAAAGCCCTTCATTACTCCCTCATCTCAACACTCCCAAGGCAGGTCTTAGAATTAAATACCATGAGGTCGTCTGTAGCTTGAACAGCCTACCTAACAATTCATGAAAGAAAAGTGATGAGGGAGAGAATATTTAAGATATGCACTAAAAAGAGCTGATGATAAAAGGAATTTATTTTAACTTGGGTAGGTTTGGGAAGATATATTCCACCACTTCAAAGGCTTGTCTTTGGTCCCTTCTTCCTAAATTCTGGCTTTGCCTCCTCCCAAAGGAGCTCTGACATCCTGGAAAAGATGCCACACACACATCCTCAGGTGAGTCTACACAAACCAACAGTGAAAGATTATTCAGATAATGTGATTGTTGTACACAGTGGACTGGATAGCTCATGCCAAATGCTACTTTTTCTCCTCACTGATTATTCATCCTCACTAATATTTATCCTCAGACATTTCCCTCCTGACTATATGTAACCTGAATTATCTAGAAAATGTACTTTTTTGGGGTCTGCATATATGTCAACTAAAGTAAGTATTTTCCCTTTCTTTGGTGAAAGTTAAACTCTCATTGGACATATCTCAGATAAGCATACTAAAGTATCCATAACCAATCTGTGTATTTCATAGTTAGGTTTATCAGAAGGACATAAATGTTCTTAAAGGTTAACTGACCATTAACAGTTAATGAAGAAACCATACGGAGGGATTTTTCAGGAAGAGTATACGTACTTAGGTCTGTTTGAAATTCCCTTGGAGAAGACTTATCTACCTCAAAACATGCTATCCGTGCTGATGGCTACTGTGCTGGCCAGAAACAGACTTGGTGGGATTTTGTGACACGATGTTACTTGAAACTGGAACAGCGAGGCTGTGAGTTCCTTGAATTTGAGGCCCAAGCAGGTCTCCCCTATGGTGCTGAGAGCTTCCAATGTTGCTGATCAAGTGTTCCCACTCCAGGTTTTGCAGTTGTAATAAAGTTCAGTAACCACACTGAGCACCTGCTAAATGTGAGGGACTGCAGAAGAGAACCTGTTGTTTAAGACCGAGCTCTTGCTTCAGTGGGGAGACAACATGCGTGCAAAACAAGTAACTTCACAAGGCACATCTGGATCCCGGCCACCATGTTATCTCATGATGTCCACGTGGCTACCTAGTGGTAACGCAAATGCAATTTGTCCAAAACAGACCTCCTGATATGCCCCTGCCCACTGGCACCTCTTATGCTCTTCTTATCTCCGTGAATGGCACTTCCTTTATTCCAGTCATTCAAGGGCCCAGAATCACTTTTGACTCGGCTCTTTCATACTACACTCATCAAATCACAAAGCAAATCCTGTCTGTCCTCTCTTCCAAATTTACCTAGAATGAGACCCCGTCTCACTGCCTCTACTGCCCCTGTCCTGGCCAAGCCAGCTCCCTCTCCCTGGGAGAACCAGCACCATGCACAAGCCGTGGTCTGCATGCCCCCTCCTCACTGCACCACAGTGACCTGTCTCCTGCTGGTCCTTTAACTGCACCTGCACCTCTGCGTCTGTGTCCACATTAGTCCCTGCAGTTGGAATTCCGTCTGCCCTGTGCGCTGTCGCCTTCCGTTGCCCTTTCCCAGGGCTTTGCTGACCACCCTGCTTGAAATAACAACACCCCCCTAGCTTTCCTGCCCTCTCTACCCTGCTTTGTTTTCCCCCATAGCACTTACTATCTTTCGATACATTATTGTTTTACTCATGCTATTTGTTTCACCTCTTTCCCCAACTCCCACAAGACTATACGCTCCACAAAGGTGGAGATTTTGTCCGTTTTGCTCATCTTTCCATGCCCAGAGTCTAGGATGCTTTCTGGCCTGTAATAGGTGCACGCCTTGCAGTGTGTTTACAGAGGGAAGGCAAACATGAGACCAGGTCATCAGCTTTGTACTGAGCATGCCCAACGCAGCACCCATCAGCACTGACGGCGTGCTTGGAGGTAGATGAGGCTCCTCTCTAAGGGAATTTCAAGAAGACAGACACGATCATATATACTTCGATGGAAAGATCCCTCCCTGTGACTTCTTCATTAACTGTCAATGAATAACTAGTTCTGTGTTTGCCGTCTATTTGCAAAAACACTGCAACGGCACAACTGGCCAACAGAGGTCAATGTTTAGACGCTGAGAGGTGCTGGCTGTCCTTGCTTCTTTTCAGCGGGGACTGAATTGGGCGACCAGTCCTCTCCAGGAGAGGGGCAGCACCTGCCTGGGGGCTGGCTCACCACTCACAGGCAGCTTTCTGGGCTGAGCCTTAGCGGCCTCCCTCAGCGCGTCCCTGTCAGACGCTGAGTTCATCATGACCTCATAGAATCAAACTTTGGTTCCTTTCTCTCCACTCTTGAGGTTCCTCTTTGCTATTTCAGCTGTGCTAATAACCATTCGTTTTATGACCTTGTGGGGGTTCAAACGGTCTCTGCTTAAACCCCAATGAACACACATTCCTGAGGGCAGCACCATATAAAAACCAAAGGACGTTACATAATTCCTGGCAGCGCCACACAGTCCATCTTTTTCATCCATAAATGTATCTTTTTCCAAATACGTGAAGCAGTCGTAGGATAAAATGTGAGCATGAATAGCCTCTGTCCTATGTCAGCTGGAGGCCCCACTGCTTCTCATCTCTGGATGCCTGGCAGCCAGGACTTCTCTTTTAGGGGCAGATCACCTTTTCCCTCCTCCTTCTCCCCCCCCTCTCTTGCTGCTGCAGGCACCCCATGTGCTCACTACTGCTTCTATGAGAAGTCTGTCTTCCCTCCCTCTCTCCAGCCCCCTAAACCAACCCTTTAAACCCATCACCTCCACCTTCTATTCAAATGGAGGAATCAGGACAAGCAAGCAACTCAGCTGGACCGATAATAATTTATTCAATATCACAGTCCTGCTCCGGCTAATGACTGGATTTTATGATCATTCTTTGCTCTTCTGTGTATAAGTTCAATAAAATTCCTTTAACTACTCAGTCAATAGCTATTGTATTTAAACGCTGTATGCATAAACACATATTTATGCTGTTTGAATATTTCGATCTT